ATGCGAAGCTAGTAGTTTGTAATATTTTGTAAACATCCCTTCTGTTCTTTATATTTTTTAAAAAATTTCTTTCACTGAATCTCAGTACAGGCCACAGTCTTGGTTTTAAATAATAGCTTCGTAAAAACTTAGTTTTACGAAACGTCATACATTTCGCTTATACGCCTGGCAAAGTTCATTCAGAAATTTTAATGATTTTGTTTGTACGAGTGCATAGGATTAATTGCATTAATGAAGAACGTCTGACGCATTTCTTGGACTTATCAAAACCTGAATTCTTCCTTTCAGATATTTATATTACTAATTTGCAATGGAAACCGAATCTGAAAGAAAACTAGAGCCTGTGATGTTCGAGCTGTTTATGTGAGAGTCTGTGTCATTTGGGAGCTGTTTATGTTTTCGTTCGGTGTCCAGGAACTTGATATATCAAGAATATCAAACAAATTGCTGTACTGTCACGTAACACGAGAGCGGCAAATATTAAGCATAGGAATACCATAATCAAATATTATATATTTAATAAAAATAAATTAATAAAATGTGGTGTTGGAAGAGTGTATATATGTATGTATATCTATCTATGCAATATTATAGTAATTATATAGAATTACTATGATATTGCAATATTCATGAAATCTCTTTGTTAAAATATATAATGTATTGCAATGTTATAAGAGAGTATTTCATTTACTGTTCTTGAGCAGCATTGCGGGCATGTTTTTGGAAAAAACAATTTGTGTGACTTTGTTCAGCAGAATGTTTGTTGCTTGAAGTCATTATTTGTAGACGAGATTCTTAGGTAAATTTTCAAATATTTTTTAAATTTTAAGGTGACAAACATCCGACCTATTTGGTTCCTAAATAGGACGGAAACCCGAAGAAACAAAATTTCCATTAACATGGCAAAAGGTATCGTCAACTCTTAGGCATGATTGTGCCTGTGCGCTCATGCATTTATATGTTTATCTCCTTTGAATAACGTGGTTATTCGCGAAACAGGATAGCAACTTTTCTCCATGCTGTGCTGATTTGAACTAATTGCTAGCGTGAACAAATAGACAACTGGATTTATTTGATGTCAATCAATTATTTCACATCGCTGTCAACATGTGAATAATCAGATAGCTGTACTTATTTTGTTAATTTTTATGGTATATAAAGTTTACATGATATTTACCAACGCATATCCGCCCATTATTCAGCAACTGTAAGGAAATTAACTTGTCTAATTTTACGCAAATATAGAAAATAATTGGGAAAATCCAATAGTATATTTACTCCAGTTTCAGTGACAGTTAACTTTTAAGATTTTTCACCGGGTCTCAGATTTATATGACTTAACATCTACCTGAAAAACAGGACGGGTCAACGGCTTCCCAACCTTTTTCGTTCAGAGTAAACACATTCGTGCGAGGCTCGACTCGTTCAGGGAAAAGGCGATCGGTAGTGGAACTTAAAAATTAAATTTCTTATTGACATTGTCCGCCCAGGGGACGTAGTGGGAAGGAACTTTGATCACGCAAAGATACGTTACCGACTCCAATTTGATCAGTTTGGATACTCATTTCGGGTGATTGAGAGTAAATACAGAGAATATGATAATATTATCGCGTAAGTATTTATGTGTGATTGCGAATTCCTGCGCAGGGGCGAAATAAAGTGTAATATACTATAATACTAACAAATTGAGTTGTTATTCAGCGTTTATGTGTGAACTTGTGGGATTGGATAAATTGAATTATGGATTTATAAGGTTGTTAAGAATAAAGTCTGGATGACTTTAAGCAACTAAATCGTTTATCCCTGTCGATTAACACGAGTAATTATAATTCCAAATAATACTCGACTTAATTGCAACTAAAGAAAACATTTCATTAATAAAACAATGGACACATTTGCTGCTGGTTATACTATTAAAAATACCTTCCATCTGTCTGAAAGGACACTGCGTGTATCCATAAACCATTGATGTCGACCGCAGTAACAGACGAAACGTTTCGACAAAAAAAGTCCAATAGACCACGGCTATGCAGTTCGGAAGGTATTTTTAATAATATAATATTTCATTGATCACAATTTACTTTTGGTCAACTATCCTGTTATGAGTGTGTGATAACATTATTTTTTTAACTCAGGGTTTTCTCTTTAATATCTTTTTAGCAGCCGTATACTAACGAGTGGGAACGACTACGACGAACTTCTACGAGTATGTTAAGTAAAGAGGTCAAGGCAAGCGGACAATAAAAATATTTCACTATCAGGAATAGTGAAAATAAATTTTGGTGGTGATTAGAGAAAACGATTGACTCATAAAATGAAGTTGGTAAAGAGTTTGCTAAAGAATCTGTGAAAACAGCCATTTTCTATTTTCTATTTTTTTCAGACGTTTTATAGATTGTTTTCAAAATTTTCTAAACTAGAAATTCTCTCTTTGACTAGAAACTTCGATATATATATATATATATATATATATATATATATATATATATATATATATATATATATATATAATGTTATTTATCCTTACTTCAAATTCATTTCAATGGATCGTGAGTTTTGTCTACATTTTAACTATTTGGAAAACTGGTTTCGTTGCAATTTCAGCTCCAATTTTGAAATTTAAACAAAGCTATCCTTGGTTGTGAAAGACCATTCCGGCATCCATTGGTATGCTTTTGATCACTGGTATCTTCTCAATGCATCTGGAATGCTACCAAGGGTTCAAATTGCAAGTAGGAACAAAGAGAAGGGGGCGATGAAGAAAAAACAAAACAAAAATGCTGTATAAAAATTTCTCAATAATCTTACATTGAATTAAACGGAATGTACTACTTCACTTCCAAATCCCGCATAACATAGTCTAAATATTAAGATTTTCATTCAATGTTTTATCTGATCATCATTCATATAGAATCATTCACAGAAAATATGATGGAGTTGACGTTTGCGAAAAAGATTGTTTACCTATGTTTGGAATTCGCAAGAATATTTGTTAATTCTAATTGCTTTTAAAAACGTTTCAATTTTTTTGAGTGGTTTTGAAAGGGAGTTTTCATATATTAAGAAGTATACATAAATACAAGTTGTAACGTGGTAAGTGCGAGGATGCGGTTGTGGTATTGTTAGCTAATCCAAAATAAAGAGACTTTAAGCTTTCCAATCTGTACTTATTTCGGTAATGGAAAGTGTCATTTATTGAGATTTTCATTCCTACATTGAGGACGGAGAAAGAAATCTAGAAATAAGAGAATGTGCACATTTGTGACTGGTTCCATTTTTTGTTCTTTTAATGAACCTGGACCGAAGAGGACGCTGAATAATTCTTCTTGCGAGAGGGCCGAGGGCTAGACACGCGTGGCCGGGACCTACCTGTCGGAGCGCGTCCTCGTGGAACTGGGACAGCACCGACGTCTCCGTGGTGACGGCGGCGGCCGCGGGCGGCGCCTGGCCCTCGTCGCCGTCGGCCATGATGCCTCCGGCGCCCCCGCCGCCGCCCGCCCCGCCCCGCCGCCGGCCCACGCCGCCCGCGCCTGCCCGCCGCCGCCCGCGGCCCATCGGGCTCCGATGTACCGCCATGGCCCTCGGTGGAAGCGCAACTAGACAGGCGGCATCGTCCTTGCCGCCGCCCCCGCCGCCACCAGGCCCGGGCATGGCTGCCCACGCCCGCTTTGTCCCCGCTCCCCGCTCGCGCTTCCCTTTCCGTCACGCCGTCCCCGGCTCCCGTTCCCGCTGCGCCGCCGCCGTCGCCGTCGTCTTCGCGCCGCCGGGCAGGCTCGCCGGGCGCATCTGCGAACGGAAAAGGCCGCTCACTTCTGGCGCACGAAGGTGTACCCCGATTTAAATGTAGTGGCACTTCAAGGCCACGAGCTGGTGGAGGAGAGGGATTGTCATCCAATCGTAAGCTTCGTTACGACTTCGAGGTTTGGTATTGGAGCTCCCGATGGGATGACTTCATGGAATGACAGGATGGCACATATCTCCTTCCAGCTCCTGACCTTCAAGCCACCGCGTTTAAATTGGAGAGGAGCCCTGCGTCTTTTGCGCCCTGCGTGCACTGCGTGCGGCTCGCGGGAGGCGCAGAGGCCGCCACGTGCACTTCTCGTCCGATGAACGTGGCTGGTCGACACCGCCAGCCCCCAGAGAGAAGCGGATTTAGTGGTCGTGCCAGCGCCCGGAAAAGCGGATTTCACAGATTTCACGGAAATGTCTGCGCCTGACAAGTGTCAATCGCACACTCATTGCATCGGACGAGAAGTACTAATGGCGGTTTCGTCAGTTTTGAGTTCAAAATATGCAGTGCTATGTACAACACTATTTTATCTTTTATTATAGTGCATTCAGTTTCGAACGTTTCTTCAAGTATTTGTTTAAAAACTAAATATAAGGTTCATTGAAATATACTGCCCTTATATATCAAATTTTGTTTAATTAGTGAATTGGGAAATAATATGGTTGCCATAATCTGCAATGAATTAAGGTTAAAATTACAAACAAATCTAAGGCTTCAGAATTGAGGGGTATTGCATTAATATTAAAGAATTCTGGAAAGTATCTACATTAATTTTTTATATGATTCTGAAAATGTTTATTTTATCACAGGATTTGTACAATTTTTACAAAGTCAATGTACAATTTTGTAATATTTTATGGTTAACTAGTGATTAGTATCAGAATAGCAGAATGAATATTTGTACTTCCCTTAAAATTGTTGGCTCTAAGAATATAGTATATACATAGGGTCTTAAAAAATCTATGTCAATGAGTCTACCAGTTGTCTACCTACTTGCATTTTGAGAAACTAAATAAAGGCTAGGATTTTTATAGCAAACAGAAGACATTATCAAAAACTTTCAAGCTAAAAATATGCAAATACGCGTGAAAGGCACACAAGTCAATGACATAGTTAATAAGACCTAATCTTATGGTGAGGGAGTAATATATGAGCCTAAAGTTCATATGTGACTATACTTGTCAACGCCTATTTGTGTTAGCTAGAAAACATTAACATTATTCTGATCAAAGTTGAAAAGGGAGAAAGACTAGATTCAATACTGACTTGTGATCCCTTCATTCCTGCAGATTTAAATGTTCATGCAATATAATCATAGTTTATCGAATCAGTGCTGCAAGTAAAGGCGTGTTCTATTTGCTGAGACGCACACACTGCTTGCAGAAACCTGTGGGAAAAAGAAACAATTGCATTTGGGTATTGACTTATTTTCGAGAGAAAGATTTAATGTGCGACGACCACACAATTGCTCAAAATTACCGCTAGGAGTTCTGTAAAACTAGAAATTTCTGTCATCCATCAATGCATATCCAAAAACCACATACAAAGTAATGGCAAGGTTATTCGCTGGCTAAGAAAGAACTAAATACATGTAGAAACTTCAGTTTTCATTCAACTTTGATTTGTAAGAATTTGATTTTTTTAAAACAAAGTTTATCTACGATGTATGTAATAAAAAAAATTTTGAAGAAGATTATGAAATATAATTTTAAAATAGGTACGTAAATATGTATGTAATATAAAACTTCATTAGCACTGAAAGATATTATCAATTACCGAATTTTCATAGTTTGATGATTCATTCTTTGTAATTGAGAATAATATTTAACTGAGAGTGTCCTATCTACATTTAAGCATTCTCACTTATTAAACATTCTCGAGGCGAAATTGACGGAACAGTTCCTAGATGAGATTCAAAGCTGAAAGTTTTTTTAAAACAAGTTTCTGGAAAAAAATCGAAATATGCCACATGCATAATTTATTATCCAATATTGAGTGCTGTCTAAAAAATATGTTTCTAAAACTAAGAAAATATTAGACTCTCAATTTCTAGAAAGAAAATTAAAAATAAATATATCAAAAATATAGTCGTTAAAATATTTTAATGAGTATGTTACTCAAGGATATTTTTTCAGCCATGCAGAGTTTTTCAGGAAACGTAAGCGAAGACAGAATCGCTAATCAAAGTATCAAATAAAACAACCAATACAGCGCCACAGTTAAAAAAATTGAACTGCTGTATTTAGGCACAAAATGCTTGATAGAATCTATACATATTGAAGAAACAAGACGGTTGAGAGGAAATGAAAGATTTAAATTAAAACACAGTGCAGTCTCTAATTAGGAAATCAGATTCTAATGATGTTGATATCCACACTTTGAATTGAAACTATCTAGCGCAAAACTTCAGACTATGCCAAAGCATGTGTTTCATTGCCTATGATGAGAAGTACAGAATAATCATTGGGCAATGTACAGCATATTCACACACGGTGCAGTCGTAAGACACACAGTGTTCACATCGCTGTCTCGGTGTGCACGCGTCGATTTTGAGACAGTAATTTCTCTCAAGTATCAAAAAGTATCACTGACCTACTGATGCATGATTTTGTAAACTGATATGCTTTGAAAAATATTTATTGAAAAAAAAAAAGATCCACGCACAGAATCTGAAACATTAGGGACAGTTTGAATAGCAAAATATTTTTGGATTGTCGAAATCAAAATAGTGAGAAGTACCTTTAAAATGTAATGTTAAAAGGTACAAATGACTAATCAGTATTAATCTCAAATCAAAAGTTAAAAATTGTATGTCACGATAGGGAGAAGGAGAGGAACTACACTTTAGGATTCTAAAGTAAACGAAGGCAGTGACATTTTGTTCTGTAGTCCAGGAAAGAAGAACTCGATCGTAGCGAGGTTAATCTAGATGCGAATATATTTCAGCAATTGAACATTTGTAATTAACGGGACGTGTCTAGCGACGCGTGCACACCTTCATCATACGTACCAGACCATTTTGACTTCCATGGTATGAGGAGTTCTTGATCTGACCACATTCCCGCTGCGATCACAAATAGCTTCTGTTTTTTTTATTTTTTTCCTGTTGGCGAAGTGTTTTGTTTCCAGAAATAACTACTTTTGTTGAAGCATGTCCTTCGTTTAAACAAAAGGTTTCGGCTTGGAGCAGACACTATTGTTGCAGGCATCGTGGGTCGGTCGCGGATTCATACGCACGGTAGATGACGCCTCACAGTCCAATTCTAAAGTAGGAAGGCAACACAATAGGGCCATGTTGTTAGTTTGTATCTTCCAAACTAGTAGAGAGAAAGAAAGCGCAAAACACTGAGTCCATTCGGATTATATTATACTTTGAATTATGTATCATCATGATGAAATAGTTTTTTTAACATTACGGGAACACATTAATTCACCTTTTCTATGTGTACAATCTTTTGAAAACCGTACTCTTACTGAGAGCAATTATTACCGCACAGTGACTGATTTCAACCTGAAAGTATGTTTTTACCTGAAAGTATGAAAAATCTGAAAATATTTTTGAATGTGATTTAACAATATTCCACGATTTTATGATGGATATTATTTAATTTTGGTAGTACTCATGGAAGATTGAAGACAATCATAATGAGGTTACTGTATTATTTTTAATGACTATTGAAATATATAATGTAACAACCTCACTTTGTCATTAAACTTTTGTGGTTACCGCTGAATCTATCTGAAAAAATACCCAAGCAAGGTTATTGCTAGTTAGTGAGAGTAGAGATAATGTATCATAGCAAAAGTGAGTTTTCCCTCAATGCCTTAATAAAAACTTCATTTCTTCATTCTCTTGGAGGAATTCGATTAATTCTGAAAACAAAATTACACATCCTCAATATTTTCATTCGAAACGGAATTCAAGATTCTCTTCAATATGTTTATTAGACGTGAAATAATAAACAAGGTCATCGAGTAGTTTAAGATGTAGAAGCATTCTCTGAAACGATAAAATATATAATCCCAGGATTTTAGATAAAAAATTAAAGGCAAAAGTAAAGGTACTAAACAATTATTTATTTATAAAAATTGAACCGAATAATTAAAATGATATTAAACCTCCTTTATAAATACGCTATATAAACTACATTTATATAGGGCAATTACGGAAGGTATAAGTTCTGTTGAATTCGACATAAATAATTTCTTAAATAAACATTGTCCCAAGGTATAATTATTTATAAAAATACCTAGGTATAACGATATTTGTTATTTATATTGTAAATAATAAAAACATGTAATGGATTTTTCTTAAGTAAAAATAAAATATACTATAATTGATCCATGTCACACGAGCGAGAAGAGAAGGGTGAAATATGCTTAAGGGTGTGAAATGAAGTTAAACTGCTTGAAAGGAAAAATATATTATGCACTTGTGTTGTTACATCATACTATTGTCATAAAAAACAAAATTACGTTTAAATTAACATGCACTTTCGGAAAATTTTAAGAAGTATGGAACATGAAATCCTCGTACTTTCTTGAACGTCAACGCTTTTCGTACACATACATCACAAGTAACCTTATTTGGAACATTTTTAATGAGGTATCTTGTACTGGTTATGGCATAACAAGTTAACAAACATTATGTTTTATATTCTGTAATTTTCGTGATAACCTACACATTTATCATCATTCCACACAATTTATCCTTCATTACTTTCATCGTAAACATCTTCATTCTTCTTTTTCTTACAAACACACTTTAACATCTTCAAATAATTTGTCTGTTTTTTCCACTTTCCCTTAAATTTTAAATTAATTTACTTTCTTCCTCGACAATGATTATATAGAGTTTATTCTTTTTCGAATTTAATACTTAAAGGATACACTCATCAAAGTAGGCCCGCGGTGGCTGGTTGGTTAGTGTGCTTGCTTACCACGGCGTATCCAAGGGCTCGATTCCCGGCCGGGGCAAAATTATAACTGAGCGCTTTCCTTACCAATGTCCCAGAATCTATTGCTGTATTACGATGAGAAATCCCACTTTAAGAAAAGAAGTCCAGAAGACTGTGACGAAATGTCTTTATTCTAACCACACCCTTTTCAGATGACCGAGAGGCTTGGTCATCGCTGGACGGCCACGGCTCCTGGCGGGCTGTCGAGTCAAAGGCCAGGACACGCATTGAGGTTACGTGAAGTCAATATTTCTTCAACGCAGGCGTCGGTTAAATATTTAGTTTCAAAATTAGACATTGGCTGCCCGATTCTGATTCCATACAGATTGTTTGGGAGATAAGGGCCATAACTTTGGGCTCTGTCGGAACGGAACAACAACTACATGTGTTGTACATCAGTCATTACTAGATTGCTTTTCACTTTTACACTGACAAAAGAATATTAAGACATTCTAAATATAATAGATCGACAAGTTAACCAAGAAAAATTGTTTCCCTCACACACTCAAATTATTTTATAACATCTGAACTAAAGGATAAGAGAGATCACAATCCACACATCGCATCACTCTAGCAGCCACAACAACCGCACATTGAGAATGGTGAACTGTGCAATCAGGTTTGTGACGAAATACACGGGATGGCTCTTCTCTCTTTAGAGATCACTTCACCCAGAATTATTATAATTATTATTATTACAATTATAATTATAATTATAATTATTATAATTATAATTAGTATAATTATAATTATTATTATAATTATTATTATTATAATTATAATTATAATTATTATTATTATTATTATTAATATTATTATTATTAACTTGATTGGCCACATTGGACCACTTGAGTCGTTCCACTTCACTAGTTCATGGTCGACTGTCGAAGGTGTTTTGTCACCTTGAGGTGAGGATAAATCCTCGAGTTACAATTCTGAATGTTATTCAGAAAGGTGATAATGAGAGATGGAGGATGATGTTATGAATAGGGGGTGAAAGGACGAACACAACACAACCATGCCCGAGGCGGGACCCGAATCCGCGATCCCGGATCCACCGGATCGGCACACCCAGAATTACCATACTATTGTTAATAAAGCTAACAAAGTAGTTAATATATACTTAATTTATTAAAAACAATTTTCGTCCATCATTAGTATGGACATTTGTATGAAAAATCAAACAAATAAAAACTAGTTTTCAATGTAGTTAGATATGTTTTTTGGTAAATTTGCTGAAACTAAACATTGTGCGTTGGCCCACTGTATCTTGCCCGCCCATCCTCGCCATATAGCCATGTATCATACCGTGACCTCTCCAGCATCAAGGGCATATGATCTGGTGGTTTTGCAACACAGAATCTATCGTATCATTTAACAGTTTCCTGTCGCGGGACATCGTATAATTCCAGCGAGTGTATGGAAAGTCAAGGCGTAGAAGATTAAGAACAGTTTTACCAATTTGGTTTAGGTATCTCGCTAATCGTGTTAAAATAATGTTTAACATTACATTTGCAGTAAAAGCGCGGTTATCTATACGTCTGTTTCGCCTCTGAATACATGAACTCTATCAAGTTAACAACATTTTCGTTTAAAAACGGGTTAGTAATTGGTACGAGAGGTTGGATATTTACGAGTTGCAGACGTCAACTTTCCATTGTATAATCTTAGAAGCACAACTACAGAACTGCCCACTCTAATACACAGAGAGATTGGAGTCGATGTTTTATATCCTCATGCAGCAAAATACTGTAGTATTGTCAACAAACGAATGATTTCAAAATAACGTCTGCAATGCTAGCATTATAACATTTTATTTGTAAGACAAATACTATTTTGTATCAAAAACTGAAATTGAAGCTACTTCTCGACATTTTCCAAAACCAAATGGTGCGTTTGGATAATCTGAACCCCATCGTAATCATTAAAAGAATCAGTCTTCGCAAGAATTCTTTCATTTTCACCCCATATTAGGTTCTGCTCAATATCATTGTCAGCAAAATAATGCAATCACTAAACCTTGTTAGATTAAACATGACCACAAATGTCGAAACGAAAAGAAGAAGCATATAACCGTTATTATCTCTCCTTTGATATGCCACTTTCTGTGAACACTGATCTCACCTTAAAGGCAACCGAGACGGCTCATCTCCGTTTCATAGATAACACAAGAACTGCGAATGAAAACAATCGCGAGGTTCTCAAATACCACATCGTACCAGTTAGGGGTTAAACCGCCCTAATCGGGCGTTCAGCTGCTCGAGTTCAACTTCCAGTAATCGCGTTTGAAGTACGGTGAAACTCGCGAGCAACTTAAACGCGTTTAATTGAAGATAAACGCCGTTAAATACGTAATCGTAGGTAAATACGTAATACGTAATCCAAGGTGGTGAAACTGATCCTTAAATAACTCGATACATCCTAAAAAGAAACAGGAAAATATTTTTAATATCTTCATTTATTGAAAAACAAGAAATTGGCATTAAACCGAGGCTTATCATAATTCTTTTTGCGTTCTCTCCCCACTTCTACTGGTTCTTATCCGCGCAAGTCACAGCGGAGCTCGTGGTGCGAAAATGGGGCTTGCAGCTTGTTTTTGTTCAGCTCGTGTCTTGCCTCGCCTCTCATTCCATCTGAGTGGATTCGTTCTTTCATTGATCCGCTGTCGTTCGGGTGCGGTATATCGGCTTAGGTGGCACAGAGCATCATTTGATCACACTGCAGTGCCACTAATCGGGAGGTTCTAAGGTTCGAGTTCCGACGGTGGCAGGTTTCTCGACACAAACTAGATAGCCAGGTTCACATCAGTCGCTTTCTGGAGGAGAATTTCATCAGCCAGCTGCTCTGATTGGTAGTTTTCCGTGGTTTCTCCGATCAAAACCAGAGGACTGCCAGAGCAGTACCCTAAGACACGGGCCACGGACCGCGCGCGATTTTTCCTTCCTCTTCCTTGTTCAGCCTTCATTACTTGCACACACTTACACTGACATGAACTACTCTACCACACATGCGAAATACCAGTCGGGAGCTTAGCGCTGGTCCCAGCTGGTGCGGTGCTCCGCTGGGGGCTGATATGTGGTTGGGAAAACTTCCGCAAAGTGACAGGCATCGGATCTTGTCTTCCTACGCAGGAAGATCTACGTTACATAAAAACAAGTCTACGCATACGGGACTGATGACCCTAGTAGTTGATGCGCCCGGAAACACTCATCCATCAATCAATCAATCGGGTACTATACAGCTGATTAGATGCCAGACTATTATAATCCCTCAAAATAATCCCGCAAAATTATTTTTCCGGAATATATAGGAACCAGCAATATTACGGAAAAGTCGCTTCTTAATTATCTTGACACGTTAAGAATTCAAATACTTAGTGTCATACGTGCTTCAAGGAATAAAGTTTTTTTACACGAATCCAAGTTTTTTTTTTGTTTCTTTATCGAGTTTTCTGTCTTGGATTCATTAACGAACATCTTGAACAAAAAACTTGCAGTAATATTACGCCATTAATCTTCTTTCTGCACTTTATCTATAAAAATTGTCATAGTTGGTCCGTTATTTACGACCATGTTACAGCAATTTCCTATAGTCTTTCATTTCCTTCATATCTGAAGCATAATGGCTCCGATCTAACATGGTACTCTGGTGCTGAAAGCCCGAACAGTAAACTTTTAATACCTTACGCTCATTTTATAGTTCTTCAGCTCATCCATGCAGAAGGAGCACGAGAGTCATGAAATAAAAATCGTATAGACAATAACGGTAATGGGTACATTTTTAATCGTGAGCTCCCTGCCATTTCCAACATCTGTTCGCTCTTACATGAAACAGAAAATAAACTAGATGTTTATCTTTCTCATAAACACCAAGCTGCGCTTATATTTCTCAAAATGAGTCGATAAAATAACCGATATGAAAATTAATACATTTTTTATTGATGGTATTGCAGCGAAAGGAAGTGCTTAAAAAGAAAACAGAATATTAATGTCATTGCATTTTTTACATTATTACTCACTTTAAGACACCATTTGCGTCAATAAAAATGTTCTATTGAGATACTGGCCTCCGATAAATTATAGTTTCGAAGACTTCGGAGAAAGAGAGTTTGGGACGTTTTAAATAATTTAGTGGAGTTCTTCATCAATTTTTTTTGGTAATCAATCTAAAAAAAGCTAATCATACGAACTGAGAAGGTAGTCATCATATGTACGCGGTTGACTTGTAAATGTACATCTTCGAGATTCAGGAATATGTAGCATTGTTAATAAATAAATAAAATAAAGATTAGTTGCCATCAATTATTCCAATGCCCTCAATTAAAAATATATCTCAATGACAAATCATCAAAATTGGTTTTAGGCAATTACATAGTAAATTTCAGCTTCATTCTCGATCTTAGCTGGAAATATCAGGCACGTAATGCGTGTCGCAAAGTTTTATGCATCTTGCAGTCCCTTAGTTGTATCGATAAATGTCAAAATACTTATTCATTAGTTTTACTTATTTATTTAAAGTCAAAATAAGTTGAATATTATGTGTGACGTACCGTTGGGGAGAATAGCAAGGTCTTCCTACATATACAAATGAAATGTTAGTAAAAACTATAGTTTCCTTGTCTCCACTACGGAGACATTGTCTATAAAAAATTGAAAAATGCACACGCCCAAACCCGTCAAATAGTTTAAAATACTGAATTTGTTTTAGTGATAACATCAAAAAATGATATCTCCGGCTGTTATAAAGAGCTCAACATTTTAACACCAAATAATAATTGTATCATCATTTGTGTCTTTCATTTAAGACTAGCTAAAGCACTCAGAGTTGTCCGGATATTTATGAATCACAATTATCTATTAGACAGGAAAAGGAATGAATTCTGAATGGCGTATCCTCGCCCAACTTCGATCTGCCCCGTCCCCCCTCACCCTGCTGCATTTTCTCATGCACCGCCTCACATCACCCTGCCTCGCCTGGGCGGCTCTGGCCAGCCCTGCTCCTCCACGCTCTACCATGTTTGCTACCATCGTCATTGGTACGGGCAACTGAACAGATGTATGGTTGTTGAATCCGACAAACTTCCTGTAACATTTTTTATCTCCAATTTCTTAAACTGAAATTGTGCTATCGAAATGATTTAAAAATCATTGTGTTCGAAATTTCATGGGCTTCATTTTGGTCGATTTACTCGTCTCACACTACATATTCGGAAAACTGCAAGAGTGTACAGTTAACATTTGTTTGGAGGATAAAATAGGGAGATAGCAATAAATTGTACGAAATTTCATGTTAACAGTAACTTTGGTCTTGTTTAAAAAGCCACGTGAACAACATTTCATGAAGACCGGAATAGAAAGGTAGATTTCTATGAAAAAATTCATTTTATTACACAGGAAAAAATAATATTTCAAAACAATGGTAGTCTAAGTTTTACCCGACAAAACACTACTTTTTAGTGAAAACCGCATCAAAATTGGTACGGCCTTTTCACTTCACTCCGAGCAAATAGATCAAAATCTTTAAATCAATTGAATTATTTTTATGTCCTCTACATGAGAATACGAGATTATAAAGCTGCAGTTAATTTGAAATAAAAGAGATTACAATTTTATTTATTTAGAAGATAGATGCTTAAAACGGATTCGTAGGTACATTTAACATATTATTATTATGTACATTTTTAATTCTAAAGATTACAAAAATCACAGTAACTCTGCATTGCAGAAAGTAAACCTAACTATTACAATATAATCTGCGAGTACTAATGCTCCAGCGTAAAACATTGCCTTTCATCATCAAAAGCTGCTGATTAAAATATTTTAAGAAACATCAGAATGCTTTCTGTATAAAGTGAAAATAAAAATTTGTGCCATCAGACTACTTCAGATCTATGTTTATTTATCTCTAGCTTAAGGTCCTAAAATGGTTAGCAAATTAGTGTTTTAGAAAAATTATTAAAGCACTGGAAATTGCGCATGTTTCAAACGTGGTTGAAATTACCAGAACTGTATGCATCCGCATTTGCAGACGAAGATTCATATAAGAAGATTGAATTGTGAGCGGCGCAGACAAAGCCGAAGACCGTTTCGAACGCCAAATACTTCAGTTTGACACAGATTGCTGTTATATTAGGCCGCAGACCGCTTGGTGGTTTTCCCAGACTCGAGGGGCTTTCCTCCGGGGTCAAGCAGTAAGTGATGCGGTGTGGATTGTACTTCATGGATTATAGCCGCTCGGGGTGAATACAGAGCGCAAGCACTTACTTTAAGTAGAAATAACTTGCCACTCATTTTTAAATATTATCTTCAAAATCTATTTTTGCATTTTCAAATTCTATTTTAAATTTAAACTTGTTCCAGCATTTCTTATTTGTTTTATAGGCCACTTAAACTTATGTTTTTTTTCTTGTATATTGTTACATGAAGTTTCTCAGAGGGAGCACTAGCTACCCATTTGTATTACTCGTATTTTGTAGTATTTAGTTTTACATGTGGTTAGGAGGAAGAGCAGGCCTGACGGACCGAGCTTTCCTTATACAAAATAATTAAATACTTTTTTACCATTATTATTATTATTATTATTATTATTATTATTATTATTATTATTATTATTATTATTATTATCATCATTATTATCATCATTATTATCATTATTGACAATTTTGAAAACGAATAAAATAATAGAAGAAATGAGAAAAGAGAAAAACTCCATGATGATTCAAGTCTTGCCATCTCTCCACACGTGTTTTGTGAACTCTTGCGAAAAGTTCGCGAATTCTCCGCAGTGAAGGAAAACTTTTTAATACTTGTCTTATGTCTTTTCCGAATTTTGCCCTCAGGTAATATAGTCGGAGAGTTGTAGATGTCAAGATACTCTCCGCAGTCTTTCAAAACAGGAACTCTTCACTTGACTTTTAGTTACGTTGTCAGGTTTGGGTCTTTATCATAGTCAGATCCCACTCGTGTAGGGTGAAGTGGGGTAATGCGTACCATTTCAGAAAAATTCAACTTTGTCAGTCTCTAGTAGGCCAACATATACTAAAAATTTTAAGATTTTTAGAATTGTATCATTTAAGATTGTAAATGACCCGCTGGATACTTAAAAAATTATTTTTTAATGGTTTTATCAAAGTTTTTTACACAATCTCTCAAGTACACATTTAACCTAGACTAGGGCAAATGTGTACTGTGCTTGGGATTCCTATAAGATCTACTTGCTTCGCTGTTGGGGGAAAATGTGTACAAAAGAGTAGTTCCATACCAACTACACGGTATATGATATATAGATTCCGCCAACGGCGGGACTTGAACACTTCTGGACCTGCAAAACTGGACACATTTTGTGGGCTTTGATGCCAATATGTCCGTAGATATGTTCTCATTTTAGGCTAATTAGGGTGGAGGGTGGGAAATGTGTACTTGGAGTAAAATGTACTCGTTTAAAAATGTGGGTATATATATATATATATATATATATATATATATATATATATATATATATATATATAGAGAGAGAGAGAGAGAGAGAGAGAGAGAGGGCGGCGCGAGGGCGGCGCGCTTGTTTGCCGGCGAGCGCACGGCGCGACGTGCAAGTCCGTTCGCGATGGAGATCGATGCGATTTAGCGAGGAGCGTCGGAGTGGAACCATTATGCTGATGCCAAGTGTTCTGCATGCGTAATTTTGCCGGCAGTGTGCTCGGCACTCTAGCGCCTACACGCTCGGAGCTCCCGAGAGTTTCGCTAGCGACGCGGAACGCCTGGATAAGGCCGCGGACCCCTCCAGAGGATAGATTTTCCCCAAGCGCTCATTGCACAATATGGATCTGCGAGGTCGTTCTCCTCGCTTCACATCGCAAGTGGGATGTGAATTATATTTGATTTTACTCTCTCAATTATGGAATGATGAAGGATGATTTAGATTATCTTGTAAACCGACATTCCTAGCGAGGTGTTGTTGTCCGCAAATCCTTTACTCCTCGCGACGGCTAGCTTGGCCCCGGGAAAGTAATTTGTTTCTCCTACACCTGTATTATAAATTTGCATACGATGGAGGTGATTACGCCGATCTAAATATCGGCTTACTGCTGCAAGCGGCAATTGCCCTGCGCTAAGCTTGCATGGTTAAATTGCAAGGAAGGCATTGAACCTGCACAGAACCCGTAACCGTTAAAAATCTTTCATTGTTGAAACCGAATAATGTTTTGCATCCTCGACATTCCACGTACTAACTTAGGAAAGAGAAAATACTGCAATGCTGATAAGGGGCGAATTTTCGTTTGAAAAGTTTGTATTTTGGACCCTGTTGTAGAAAAGGATAAATCTTTTTCCTAGAGATAGTAAATTACTTCCTTCTCACGGTACGTAGCCAGAATCCAGGTGCGTTGCCAGAATCCTTGATAGAGAAAAATTAGTTGGCCACAGAGAAACGGAAGGACAGGCGTTTTTCTCCAACGATTGCGCCTAAATCGTTTACACGATTTTGTCCTAAATTTATATTCCTCGAACAAACTGGCCGAACTCAAGGCTCTGCCAATTTGAAACGGATATTTTGATTGGGGGCAGGGAGTTGCATGAAGCCTCAACAACTTTGAAAAGTCTAATTTTTTTCAAAATCGATCGAAACTTTTGGATTAAATTCTTCTCTTGGATAGAGCAAAGAACACATAAAATGGCGTCAGTACTATCTTACAGAATTTATAACATTACATATGTTAAAATGTGTTCGGCGACTTCCTACAAAATGTATTTACATACTATTGACGATACATATTTATTTTATAAAAGCAATCTCTTCGTTACAGACTAATCTTTAAATAAGAGTATGAACAATTTTTCGCAAATATATGTAGTTTTCACGTATTTTGCGTGAAATTTTGTGATTTTTAAACAAATATTTTTACAAAACTGATTCAATTTTTTCTTTAAATATTTTTATCGGAAAGAGCAAATACGCTTATGAAATTGGCGAAAGCCCCATATCCGGTGAACTCCGTTTTTTCGAAAATGGTAACATTACAAAACCACTAAATTGGTAATAGATGTTTTCCACAATGAAAATTTGATTTAAAAAATATATCTTTGCTTAAAGATATATACAACTTTTTTAAAGTATGAATAATTTTACAGTAATATTTGCTTGAAATAAAGGCATTTCATTTTTTCCCTAAAAAATCTGCTACAATATCTGAATTTTCGAGAATTGAAAAAATGTAACGAAGTATGTGAGAAAGTGCTGTTGTTTCACCATTAGTTTTATTATCTCAGTGTATATTCGGGTATATTTCATATATATCACAAAAAGATAATACATTTTCGTTAACTTGTTGCATCAGACAAAAGGCCTATTTTGTATGAACTTTGCAAAATGTTAACCAGAAATTCCCGTAGAATATGATCCGATGATCGTGGTGGAATATATTAATATTTGTTCCAAACAAAGTACTATATTTTTAAAAAGCTATATGATTAAATAGAATAAAACCGTTTGCAAACTCGTCAATACAAATATCTTAACTGAGACGTTATCCTACAAAAACCGAAACCGATAATAAAACAAATAGTTTATTGACCAAAACCAGAAAGTTAATTAGATCCATATTTTGTATTTTTATTTTTCAAGTAATAAAATGGACTGGTTACTGAACAATAGTATTATCCTACTAACATTTCGATTATACATTTTAATTTCGTTAAGGGTAGAAATACACGACTACTTATTAAAAACAATTGAAATACTTAGAACTAAATAATGTTTTTAATTGATGTACTAAACTTCTAATGGGTTACAATTGAATTATTACTACTTAAACCCAATATACGAGTACAAAGCTCACCTGTAGATATAGATCGTTGTCGGATTATTATATCATAATACTGCTATTCACTTTTAAAAATTGTAAACGACCTTCTTTCTTCGGTTTTATATAATTAACATTATCACACAGGGAGCTGTTTTACACTAAATTGTAATAGACAATTGGAGTCATTAAGACAAATTGTCAATACATCCTCATAAAAAGTGTGAGTGGCAAACCTGATATATTCGGACATTTTATCTCGCAGCATGCACGCTCGAAATCAATATTAGTGTCTCTTCATAGTACCTCGTTCCCAGAGAATTTCATTTGCCGATCGTAATAAATTCCGCTGGAAAGAGAGAGGAGATGACCCACTTACTCAATCATCTCACACTGGAAGCGAGATGCGCGTGTGTGTTGCCTGGCAACGAGCTTGTTTACTGAAGTGCAGCGAGATTAGGACTGGATATTTCCTGCCGCGAGCTACATTGAAATGCGATTCACGGAGAGCCTTGAAGAGAGGAAATGAGCGCATCAATTTTGAAACCCCGTAATGAAGAGTACTTCACAGATTCTTCGAATACAGAATCACCTCACGATGTCTAACTGTTGAAACAAACTCCAGCAATCAACGGAACTATGTTCCTAGAATCGTGAACCAAATGCTTCTACTATCTTTTCTAAACTAGGGAAAACGACATTCGTGTGTGGTCATGTTCGTAATGAGTGCCTCTGCCTTTTATTTTAACGCGTAATTATTAAGTATTATATAAAACAGATTAGTTTAATTAAAATAGTATTTTACGGTCACTTTTACCCCTACAAGAGTTATTAAAACAAAGTGATTTGTGGTATTTTTCGTATATTGGATTGGTATGAAGAAAAACGTTTTGGGAGTATAGTCACCACCCACTAGAAAAATGCAATTTTGAGGAAGAGTGTGATAATGCACATAGTGAACAGTTCAAATGCCTCTTAATGTCGAGTAAATAAGGAAAGGATAAGAAAATCGAGTAAATAAGGTGAGATTTTGTCACTCTGCACTCAGGAGAAAACACGTCAATATGTGTAATATATAATTGCTTTCACTTCAATTGACCACCAAATACACACTTTTATTGAATAATATTATCATAATTGCAGGAACTTTCGCAAACGTACTCCTTCGTGTTCAACGTCTCGTCACTGCGCGCGGCGCTATTTCCTTTCTTGCCAGGAGCCAGGTCAGCACACTGTCGTCGACAGCAACATGTCTAATCTCGGGTGTTTCCACGTGTCGAGTTCTTTCAAGACTGGAGAAGACAGCAGGCTGTCGGCGATGCAAAAAGATTATATAATGAACAAATTCATACTCTTGGGTATCCTTACAGTGTGCTGGATTAGAATTGTGAATGGATGAAGAAACGAAAATGAAGAGTGGCAGAGCCTGAAAGAAAACTCGTTCAGTTTTAAAATAGCATTGAAATATGAGACGTAGAGAAACAGTACATCGAGACTGCAAATGACACCAAAGATTTCTCAGAATTCTCTTCCACACAGGGACTGAATTCGACCTAGCTGTCAAGCTAGTGTTGAAAATCCTGCCTGTAACTACGACTGTAATCCTGGACTGTAATCTAGGACCTCCCGGTCAGAGGCACAGCAGAGATATCAGCTGGCGCCCTGTGCCACCTCTCCCTGAGCGCCCCTTAGGCGGGAACTCCACGGCGCACGGCGGAAATGGGAGGGAGTGGAGTTACGGCTCGAACGCTGCGCGACATCCGGCCCGCGGGCGAGGCGGAGCCACGAGCGAAGACGCGGCGTCGCAGCACCGGAAACGAGCGCGCGGGCGCGAGCAGCGTCGGGTCACTGGCGACGAGCGACAAACGACGAGCGACGAGCGCCCAGCGTCCAGCAGCGCCTAGAGCGCGCCGAGCGGCCGAAGGGATCAGGGGAGAAGGGCAGATCTCGGACCGCTGGCACGAGCGAGACAAAGGGAGCGCAGAGCGTGCCCAACACAATGGCCACCGCTACGTTTCCATTTCTGTTCGAAAATCGATGAATGGCCGCAGTACGTATATAGAATAAAACAGCCCATCCACGAGGCAGCCAGGATCACGAGCCTAGCTTGCGGCGGTTGTAACTGTGAACTAGGCGAGACATCCGGTCGCTCGAAGTGCAGCGAAGACTGACGAAACGGGGCCTCTCGAGAAAACCGAATATCATAATAAACTGCGATGCGATCACAGACGTTTTCACTGTTCGCACAGTTCACCGAGAACATTTTAAATATATAAACAGAAACTCTTCCTATATTCTACTGCAGTGTATTGCTCTACAGGCCTGCACCAATCTGATAGAAGACGAAAAAATGGATGTCAGGTTATGATGCACGTAAAACAACATTACACATGCAACCCGCAACACTTATTATCGTGCATAACTCGAAAACGATGCGCTTTAGGCCTCTAAAAGCAGATTTATTTGTTCCACGGTATTTACGAAGGGTACTAATACTGCGTTGCTCTGGTTGTCAGAAACGTTCAAATTTGGGCTCCAGTATGGAGATATGTTCGCTCATAAAATAATGATTCACAACGTAGTGAAACGTTTACACGGTTCCAGTCAGTCATAAATATTCTGGATGGACGGATAACGCCTCAGGAAGAAATGCTCTCTTCACACGTGGAAATGGAAACGACTATATGTTCTGTTCGACTAAGTTTTGAAGTGAATGGACAAATCTTGAACTCACGTAAGTCCAACAATTCTCAACCAATCCAACCAATTCAAAACAGAACGCGCTGAAGTAGAAACGGAAACTTCTATTATCTATTGTTAGGACTCGTTTTGAAATGAACAAAGAAATACGGATCACAGTCCAGTTCAAAACTTTGCAGCTCTGCCAATTTAGAACGCAGAACGTGCACACGTGGATGTGGAAACGTCTATTTTCTACTGTTGGACCAAGTTTTGAGTGAATGAAGAAATGTGGAACTCCCTCCAGTCCAACAATTACGAGCTCTGCCAATGCAGGACGTGAACAGGAATTAGAGGGGGGATGGTTGCGCTCACGAGAAACCTTGTAGCCCGTAGGATGGTCTCAGTTGTTTAGTAGTCGTCGTCAGAGAGATACAAGTATGTCGCTTAAGACTTTCCCTAAAGTTGTCTGAAACGCGCAACGCTTGAACACGTGCTTTGAAATCGTTGCAAGGATCGGAACCTTGTTGGACGGCTCTTCCCTCAGGTGTCTGCCTGCGGAGCGGGAAGTTTGAGAGAGCCATTGTCAGATACACTACAGTGTTCGGGTTCGCTCGGGCTTGCTGCTCAGGCCTGCGAAATTCCGCGTACGCAGGTGCAGTTTCTGCATTCACATTTGGAACACACAGGAAGTAACAATAACAAATTTTCTATAGAAAACCTATTTACCTTTTTAATGTAAATTAACCTTATCAATCAACTGCAAACGATTAAGAAATGTATAGATATCAGTATTGTCCAAAGATAACGTCAAATAAGAGAGGAATGGATTTTAAACAAGAATAAAATAAAAGGACCAATAATAAAACTTGAAGCCAGAAAAGAGAGAGATAAGAGAACTTTAAAATCTCAAACTTCTGCGGAACCTCAAAATCCCTGAGATAAAGCCAAGGATAAAAATAAATAAAGGAAAAGGAAAACAAGCTTGGGTGCCACCCTGAGAAGAAAACTTTTTGCTTGGATGAACTTGCAGGAGCACATTTGTTATTTAACACATTTGAGTCTCATTCACGGATCTGATTACAAATGGGATTAAAAATTAGGCTTGCTTAATGGAATTGTTAGTGAAAACAGTCGACTACCAAAGGAAAAGCTTCAGGAAAAGTTCCCCAAGACAGTTAAATTGCACAACGAATACATGCAATTGAGTCAGAAAATCAAAGTGTGAAGATTTCAGTGTCCAAAAATTTTTAAACGAATTTGTATTGTTTGTATTCTGTTACTGCTCATTATCGTTGCTAGTGACGATCTAATGAGACCTAATAATACAAATTTAATAATAATAACAATATCAATAATAGAAATAATAACAGTGGATTTGTATGATCAAGTACCGTACAGAAATTATAAACTGGCTACAAGAACATGGATAATCTATTTATTCATTTAAATTTTAATGATTTATATAATGTATTTAATTTATCGCCAAACAGTTAAAAACTGAATGTGCCGTATTATGGGGAGAGGTGTGATGGGAAATTAGCCGATATCTTTGAATTTCATTTTTGTTGACTTCTGAGAAGAGCGGCGTAATCTTAGTTGTTTTGATAATATTCGGAAAAGGACCTGTGCATAACGCCGCATTAAATATGCGAGTTAACGGGAAAATTGATATGGATCATCAAACCAAAAAACTGACAGTGCATTGCTCTCTTCACCCCGGCAGGGGTCCCATACCATCTTTCCTGCATAGCAGGAGGCAGAGGACGTCGGTAGAGAAAAGAAATGGTTCAAACAAAGAAGCAAACGTTGGCCAAATAATCCAACATTCAAAGCGGACGTGGCTCGTCGAGGTACGTAAGGACGTAGTCGTTAACATGGGAAGCGCCTTCAGCAATATAGAGAGGAGGAACGAGGAAGGAGGAACGCTGAACAAACAGCCATGACAAACTGTTCCACAGGCAAAACGACCCAATATCGAAGAGGCCACATACAGAAACCTGAAAAAATACTTGAGCAATTTGTCTTAATGCAGTCTATCATTCCAACGCAAAGTAGTGTCTTCAGGTTTCTTAGGTCCTTGGGTAGGACTGAAATTAAGAGAAGTAATAAATAGCCTAATGGCAATTTAAAGTAGTTATAATGATTATGATTATGATAATAATACCTACAAGTATCTCTCTGTGGGGTACCTGTACCCTTAGAGGACCTCACTATCGCAATCCAAGATCAAGTAAATAGCAAAAAAATCTATCTCGAACACAGTCAACGATCCTAGAATAGCGAAAAATAATTGCAGAATGCGTCGCAAAGAATCCGATCCAGCATATATTAGCAGGCTGCAGAGCACCGACTGAATACATACAAAGTCATGATAATGCTGGGATTATAATCCAAGAAAAACTCTTCAAGAATTATGATTCCCTGCAGATTATTTCACCTTTTTACAATTATCATCTGCAGGACGAAAAAGCATCCTAACAGTAAAACTGTCCATACAACAGACCTGCCATTACCGTCTGGAATAAGATATGCGCTATGACCTGCTTTGCAGACTTTGCTGTGGGAGACATATTATGACTGATTACCAGACGATGTCGGAAAAATACAGAAATGGCCCACGTTGTAAAGGAGGAATGGTGTCTTGTAGTTGCAAAAACCATAAATGCGGTATTGTTATCTAATGACGTCATGCCAAAAGTCACTGGAGGAAGTGGACATCAATAAATTAGCAATTACTAATATTAAGAAGGTACTCGCAATCAACACATTTTCTATGGTTAGAAAGTTCATAAAAGCAGATCTTTAGTAAAAAATGGTAATTAAAAATTTTGAAGTTTACATTTGGGTAAACGTTTTTGTAGGCTTGTAATAATAATTATATTAGTCTACTTGAGTTATTGACATGTAATGATTGTGTTGCTTTACATTTACACCAAAATGGATAAGGAACAAACAAATACGTGTTTTCGGAGGATAAACACGAAGTTGGAGTGCAAAGCCCTCATAGTAGCATAGTATGCTGCCTTAAGAACTCTGTCATCAGAAGACTATTCTCAAAAGAATTCAGGTGACAAACGATTCTGTCAGTCTGCCTCTTTCAAGTAAAACGAATATATGTAGATACGTAACAAATTCTGCTCATATTTGCACTGGGAGACGTAAAATATCAGGTGAACTGTATCTCTGTGACAAATGGTACAATCGTACATCTCAACAGGTTACAATACACGGGCCCTATCCCAATCTGTATGGCCACTGGATTCACGCTGACTAAATTATAAGAGCTAAAAATTAGTCATTGTGGTTCCGAGTAAGAAAATACTATCTTGTCTCTTAATAGCTTAATTCTCTGGGGCTGGGCTTTGTGAGCGGAACGTCATAGCCAAGAAGGCTGGAAAATATTTCAATTAGAGGATTTGGCCATTGATATCAAGCTGTTTATGACATGAAAATCAAAACACTTGTTAGTTTTTACCTTTATAATTGGAAACCTAGAAAAATGTCAACGAGTCCGACTAGAAATCTCACAAAATATTCGGGATGCAACAGAGATACCCACCTCCAGGAGATAGCATTGTGGGGTCGACTCATCGATTTCAACTAGGTGGAACATTATCACCAAACGCAGTATCCTCATGAAGTAGGTTGCAACCTGGAGCACAACTTCTAGTTAATGGACGAAGAAGGACTAACGTCGAACATAAAATAAAAAAATAACAATAACGAAAGAACGAACGACCCTCATTGTACGCTGCGCGGTAGCATTTGCAATTTGCTAAAGACCGTCCGAAGAATAAGGAGGCGTGAATGCTGATTTGTCGTCAACTTCTCAAGAACGCTATCAATGCTTCATTAGCCGCGTCGTTTGAGTCAGGCGCCCGCTTTCCCAGCTTGCTAAGTGCGCCCAGGTCATCGGCTCCATGGTTCGCAGCCCTCCACCATTTTTAAAGAGCTGTCATTATCTCTCCCTTAAAGAGACCCGCTGGCATCTACGTAACAACAGGTAGCCACGAAGGCATAAGCCCCTATGCGCAACACTTTTAGTTTACAGAATATTTCATGTCTACATTTCGCGGTAAATGTTTTTAAATAAATATGAATGATGGTGATAAGATATATACACATTGAAGTATTATTTTCTTTTCATTTCAGAACAACGCCTTTTGGTATGGATATTAATTTTATGTTATGACAAACGGAAATTACCCGATTTGATAAGACTTTTTTTTCCATTTTTCGCCGATTTTGTCTATTTAGCCATTTATATTTTTCTCGTAATTTTTAAAGTATTCTTTCGCTAATTTTATGTTTAATGTCATTTTATGGTACTTGCTCCAAATTACATTTACGGGAAGCAACAAATGTTCTTCAAAGAATTCCTAAATAGCCTATTTGATTTCTTCGTTCAGACATTGCAATTTCAGGCTTTGTGAGTATGTAATCTAACGTTCTTGTGACACCTATCAGTGGCGTTGTCAGTTTGGTCGATTTCGAGATAACTAAAGGCAGAGATGTACTGGTAAAGAACAGTACAACCCAAAATTTTGCGAACTAAGTTCACTTGAGCGCAAGGAAGAAGCATCAATTACATCAGTAACATATACAACAGATTGAGTAGTTTATATAAAGTGGCTTTGATACAAGAAAGTCATTTTTCTTTGATTTTAGGGCTTTTTAAATCATTTAAAGATCACTTCATTGATCATTTCTGGGGGTATTTTAGAAATTAAAATACACCTCCGTACATTATAAGTGTATATATAAAGCCACCAGCACCACAACAACAACAACAACAACTCTTTTCGTAAAACATAAAGTTTAAAACTTAGGGACTTTGTGTCATTATGCAACCCGCAACACGTTTTTCCCCGACTCGTCGATCGACTCAAACTGTGCGTTCTATGCCCCTAAAACAGGTTTTAAGCATCCGAGGCACTACAAGTATTGTTTATCAGGCAGCGATATACCAAACGATCTACTGCATTTTAAGCTACTGCTCTTGTGGATACTACAATTCTGGAGCACAGGCTGCAAGCAAAGTGCAGAATCTCGATTTTAATATTAAATTAAATTGACCGTTTTAAATTCTCACGGGTATATGCCACTAGGTAATAATTACTTTCAAAAATTTTAATTATTTTTCAGACATACACGGTGTAAACCCACTTAACGGCCTATCCTTACGACGACTTACAAAGTGAGAAACGTTTGCACAGGCCGTTACTACATTTTAATTCCGGCAGGCAAATTTATGATTCTAATAAATTTATAAAATCCTCCAGTTGAAAATAAATAACCTAAAAGACCCTGACAATATAATAAAAGAACTATGTGACATCTTAGGTCTGAAAACTACGAGTATAATTATATTAATTCAGAGAAACGAACGTAAAACCAAACGCATAACAAAATCCCTTTACGAATTGAACATCAAAAGGAATGTTATTCGATTCTAGACAGCAATAATTTTCTAGAGAAGATCAGAAAGTTTCTGGAAGGAAATGTGGATTTTAAATTATTTAACTGAAACATTATTTTTATTATAAAATGTAATTACATATTTTGTAATCGAGAGATGACGTTATAATTGCATTTTTCGTGACATATATTGATATATTTGTCATTACCATACCTAACAGTATATTTTTTCTGTACAGAATACAGTCTTAAAATTAAAATATGTTCATTGGGAGAATTTTTCCTGTGAAACTCTATGGTGAATATGAGAACCTACATGAGAAGGATGATACGTGGACCACGATGATGGAAGTGGTGGAGATGATGTTAGAATTAAACACCGTATCAACTTAAGTTTTTCTGACGTCATTTCTTTCCTACCGCGTTTTTCTTGACATTAAGAGTAGCATCTGGCTTTGAAACTTCCTTTGTATTCTTTTGTTTACTTTTGTCCTCTGGAGGGTCGCTTGCCATTTCAACGTAACAAATGCTACAGAAGAATAGGTTTAACGTTTTAAAAACTTTTTCACAATTGCATTCGTCAGCATTACAATATTTTTAAAATTGTTCTTCATGGAGTGGTTACTGTTGCCTTGAAAATATGATTTAAAGAGCTGCAGTACGGCTATTGTAACAAATAACGATCTAATGTTATTTTTGGATTTCTAACACGAGGTAAAGCAAGTGAATACTCATACTTAACAAAACAATGCAGAACAGAACAAGGAATCAATAAATATACGGATGCAAGTTAGAATACAGTTACGAAATTGCATGGAGAGAATTGGGAAAACAGGACAGAAAATTTGTAAGATTTGTACAAACTAGTATTTATTTTTTAAATTACATATTTGTTATTTAACATAAAAACTTTGTCACGTTAAGAAGGAATCTACATTTACTAATATGTGAAGATTTTACCAAAAAAATATAAAAGAATTATTTTTGAATGTTTTATGTTTCAGAAGCCGAATAACCAAATAATACAAATATTTACTAAAATAGTATGTTAACGGTATTCATGTAAGAAATCGAACAATTACACAACAGTTCGAACAGTACTAATTACAGTGAAAGTTACAGGGGTAATTCTTAGTATCAGATACACAACGATTATGAAACATATTACATGGCAAAATATATATTTTCTTTAAACTTTGTACAATGCTGAATATTCATTTCATATTGACAATACAAATTGACTGTCGTCATTCCGTAGAGCTATATTTTTTCTCCCGCTCTTGGTTTCCTTTTGTTTTTAAGAAATATTTATATCGCTTAGCCACGTTCAACGCCGCTACTGAAACAAAGCAACCGCCCACTCCCTAGCCTCCGCTCCAAAGCACCATCACCTACGTCAACGTAATTGCCATCGCCATCCTTGTTCGCTATCACCATCACCAACACCCCAGCGCGCCGTCGTTACGCCTCTACCCCCGCGGTCGCACGCCGCCGTCGCCTCCGCCTCCACAGCACGGGCGTCGCGTATTGATCGGCACCGCTTGCTGCAGTCCCGACGCTCCCCTTCTCTTCCACCACCGCGCCTCTTCCGCCTCCGCCTCCGCCTCCGCCTCCGCACTCCGCCTCCGCCGCCTCCCTTTTTCCTCCTCCTTCCTCCGCCTCCGCGTTTCCGTCGCCCGCGCCGGTTCTCACCCCGCGGCGACACTCCGCCCCACGCGAGAGGACCGCGCCGCCGTCCCGCATGCGGCCCGACGGCATGATCGCCCGCGCCCCCCGTCCCAACCGCCGCTGCTCCACCCCCCGCCACAGATGCCGGCCGTCGGTCGAACCGGCCTGCTGACGGGACGGTCCGGTGGGACGCAGTGGCCCCGTCGGCACCCAGGGGCCACCCCTCTTCCGCCAACGCCCACGACTTTTGTGGTGACACTCCACTCCGCTCCGCTTCCAAATCCTGCTCTGCTCTCTCCACCCCCCACCCCGCGCGCGCCCCGTCCCGCTTCACCTCCGCCCCCGCTCACACTCTTACCCTGTCTCGTCTAGTTCCACTTCCCACCCTCCCGGCCCGGCCCGCCCCGCCCCGCTCTCCCTTCGTCCCTCGTCCCTCGTCCCGCTTCCCGCGCGCACAGCCACCTCTTCGGGCCGTGCCACGCCGCACCGCTATATCGCCCACAGTGTGCACTCGGCTTCGTACTCGTAGTCAAAAATGTTCGTTTTCGACTTGCTGTACGGTACGACGAATTGAAGTACCAAGATTGCATGGAAATTATGGAAATGACTATTAAATTCACGAACCACGGAAAGGGGATTTAATCAGGAATATACACATCATATGAGCATATGTCAGTATTGATAAGTAAAACTAATAAATATATTAAAAAATTGTGTCAACCCTTACTTAAGATTGTATCAATAAAATATTGTCGATAAAAGAACACCAGTGCATGTTGGGACGATATAAAATAGTCTGCAAAATCCTAGCAATAAAACCATGCCACGTAAATAATTCGTCTCTGATTGATTGACGGAGATATTCTGAAATTTTATAGTTTCATATTTCATGAGAGAAATAGTTCGATTAAAACGAGCATACTAGAAGCTAGATAAATAGGTATGAATTAGGATGGGCGCTTAGATTATCGAATGGTGTTTTTTAATATGGAAAGAGTTTTCATTAGTATATGTTCTAATATATTCGAAAGAATTGGACGAAATGTCATAAGTTTACAGTATTCTTCAGACTTATTTCTGACTTCGAATTCATTACATAACATGAATAACCTTAGTCTCTGTACAATGATAGGTTTACAGAGAGACAGAACAAAATATAATTGTTGTGCTGACGAATAATATTAACGTATTTAAACTTGTCCATTGAAAATCTTCCGAGTTCCAATTATTGGTCTCTTTCCGTAACTGCACTCATTTTAGGCATTTGTGCATTTGCTCAAATTTGCAGGATCAAATGAATAATGTTTCGAATGAAAGTTCCTGTTGACACTGGAGTGAAAAAATGTGGTTCATTACATTAGGTCAATATTTTAATGTCACACGAACCAGATAACAAATTAGAAACCTTTGCATCATTGCACTTGGGTATATTTCATTTATGTACTAACATTAAATAATCAATACAAGAAGTGAATTTAATATCATTTTTGATAAAAATTACATTGCTCTTGATGCTGGTCATGTGGAACATTTCTGCTCCTATTTTTCTAAACTGAAGATAAAATGGAGACATGATCATCATTTTGTCACCTTTTACACCTGAAAGTGCCTGTGGCTTTCGGGGAGAGGGAATCCACATACCAAATGAAGTGTACTATGGAGTATAAACAATCCTCCGATATACTTACTAATTTTTCGAATAACTAATCGACTGTCCACTTTATAATATACCAAATATTCTCCGAAAATAATTGCATAACATACCTCCAAACAACAATGAAATTCACACGAATTTCGCGTCGCTGGTAATTACTGCATTAGAAAAATATTTACGACTATGTAATTACGAAAAAAATAATATGGTAATGATAAACTGCTTAATTTATTTGTACAAAGTAGCGCAAAAAGTCGAACTATGAACCCGTTAATTTCATAGACGGACATCTATTTATCCTCCATTTATATTAAGTATTTATATTTTATATCGCGAACACAATATAAAATATATAAAAGATTTTTAGAATTATTTGGGATAAATAAAACATTAATAAGCGTTGAGATAGTTGTGGGAGAATTTGATTCTCTAAATTAATAGAAAAACAACTTTTCACTGCCAACCTCTAAAGCAGTTTCCCGAATAATATGACTTGAAATGTGCTGTGTAAGGCTCATCTAAGGATATTTGTAAATAGTACTTAATGATCTACGCAGTATTCTGAAAGTAGCACCATTTGCCCACCGGAAAAAATAGATACCTAGAAAACATCTCCTTTATTCAATTCACAATGGTATTGATTCTAAGTTAAATTCGATAAATTCGTTTTATTTTTTAATGTAGACGTGTCAGACGTACCTGCACTAAAAGATAGCACCGTATGCACCTTATCACGATAAAAAATAAAAAAATTAAAATGTTTTTGCAAAAGTTTAATCGTAACGCAGAAACATTACTTTCTTCCCAAACATATTCACATTCTTTGACCTGCACTGTATCGTGCACGTACGTAACTAGGAACTAATGTATTTCGAGGCATTACTCCTGCTAATTGCTGCGTGCTATGCCGCGCCGATGCGCGCCCTCCGCACTTATCACTAAGGTCGCTCAGCATTGACCGATGCAAACGAGTGAGCGGTTGTCCCGACCGGGTTCAGTTGCCGCGACCACGCAGGAGGTAGAGACATTGCTAATGCAACCACTGCCAGGGCCCGCCACCGGTCGTACACACGGTAACACAAAAAGACAAATTTCTTTGCCACGTATCCGGCGACAAATACGGTTGTGATATCCGAAAGCTGTAATGTTTTCAAGCGCAGTAAGCCGTAATGGACGACGAATGTGTACCTCTTGCGAACGTATGCGAGTGTAAGTAGAAGACTTACACATGAGCAATCGCAGACCTTGTGTAACTTCTACGTAGGCTTGTCGATTTTTTAAATATTTGGTGACGCCATAGTACGCGTCCATCATAATTCGTGGTTTTAACTTAGTGCGGTTAAGTCTGGACATCTCTACACATGCATCATGGAATTAAATATTGTCTTCTTATATCTCGCCTTGTTAAGACTAAATAGAACAAGAGCATAGTACTATTGCACCTTACCAACCCTCAAGTTTCGAAAACAACCTGAAGGTTTTCTTTTGTTACCGGGAATGCGAACAGGATGGAAATTCAAAATAATTTGTTCACACCGTTCATATCTGTTCATTATATTTTTACGTCATTGCTCATGGTAAAATCAAGTCCATTTTTTCGATCAAAATCCAACTTCATTCACTGCCTACAAGGCAATTCCTTCAACAAACAAGATCTGAAAAAATGTACACATAACTGAATATTGCATAGTAATTGCCTATCACAGCTCTCATATTCTTAGTCCAACTACATTTGTTTCCATTCCAACTCCGTCGATTATACTTGGCATATCGCGAAATTAGGTACAAGTTTTCCATTTTGTGGTAAGGTGTTATCTACCTATTTCAGTTCCAATTCAAAGTAATCGAACATAGCTTATTTGTCAGTTCAACATCGTTACCCTTATTACACCCGAAGAATGTTTAAACATCACGAGTTGCCGACAGTAGAGCTGGCCTAAAGGGTAATTTCAGTATAAGCTATCTTTCCTATGCTCAGAAAATGCTCTCCTTTCTTATATAATTATAATGTATTACAAAAATTCACCCGATAAGCAGTTAAACATTCTAAAAAGTTTAACACTGTGACTTCGAAATTGCTTTTGTGATCTAAGCAAAAGGATTAATGTCTTTTTTACGGCGTCTCTTATTTACTTCAACAGTACATTCTTAAATCAAATGAGATTAAAGAGAAAGTTAAGAAATCTATAGA